ACAGAAGCAGACTTCTCCCGACTCCACACCCTAGGTTTAGTTGAGGGACATTTTACTACTACTTCAAATATATATTGTAATATAGCTTGGGGTCGTAAAACATTCCAAAAAGGCAAAAATTTAGATGACCAGATTCAGTTCTTTGATTTTATCATTTTCCCCCCAATTGAGTTCTCCACGTTTCTGCAGAAATATATTATTATTATTATTATTATTATTATTATTATTGAAAATTCATCAGAATTTTCGTTCAGATTTTTCCTAATAAACATATTTTTACATGTAGCTTTGACTAACCTACCGCACTGGGTTGTTGTGAGGATAAAATGGGGAGCGGCGAAACCTTGTATCCCACCTTGAGCTCCTTGGAGGAAAAAGCGGGTTATAAATGCAATATGTAAGTAAAATAAATAAATAATATGCACATTTTTGCAAGTCACGCTCCATAATGTAATGCATTTTTGTATGTTATTTTTTTTACTAATAGATGAAATTCCACTCACATTCCCCCCCAAAATATGCATTTACTACTTATTATTTGGTTTGGAGAACTATACCACAAAACTTGGAGACGAGCAAATGTTGAAGGACAGCTGGGTTTTTTGGATTTTTTTGCTTTGCATTTTGATTCAAGGAGTGTGACTTAGGTAGTTCATCATTCAAATGGAAACAAAACTGAATTTGTCCTCCATTCCTGGGGAAGGACAAGGAGCCGTGAGTGTTGGCAGCCAAGGATCCCTATTTATCTTAAGATGTTCTTACTCTGGTGAACTTGACTAAAAGTATTTTTTTTTCATGTGAGAAGTTTGTGAGCCTGCTTGAGGAAGAGGCATTAAACCCGTTTATTTGTAGCAATGGATTTTGTATTGCTTTAAAAGCATGCACATATGTTGGTGAAAACTTTACACTTATGCAATGGCTGTGGCGCCTGCTATCTCTCAGTTGCAGGGTGTGTTATATAGATGCTGTCCATGTTTCATACTCAATAAACACATTTTGTGTTTAAGAAGAGTGCACTGTTACTACTTCACTCTTGGAGCATGTCTGGTCTCAAACCAGGGGTAGGCAAACTAAGGCCCGTGGGCCAGATCTGGCCCAATCGCCTTCTAAATCCGGCCCGCAGATGGTCCGGGAATCAGCGTGTTTTTACATGAGTAGAATGTTTGCTTTTATTTAAAATGCATCTCTGGGTTATTTGTGGGGCATAGGAATTTGTTCATCCCCACCCCACCCCCAAATATTGTCTGACCCTCCACAAGGTCTGAGGGACAGTGGACCGGCCTCCTGCTGAAAAAGTTTGCTGACCCCTGTCTCAAACCAGATTCTGTTGCAATAGACTTCTGAATACAGGGCATTGCAGATGCAAGTATCCTTTGTGCTTCTAAAAATGGAATGCCTGTGTGCCGTAACTCTAGCAGTGACATTTTAAGAAGATGCTAGGATATTTAGCAGCGTAATATCTGAGCCAGTCCCTTTGGTTTGCTGATTACTCTACGCAAGTGCAGCTAAAAAGCACAGAAATTGGCATTGAGTGTGTTTTCTTCTTCTTAATTTTTTCAAAAAGGGAGCTTCTGGTGCTTAAGGCTATGACAGCATGTGAGCAGTGTCTGATGAAATTTTCGAGGCCAGAGTAGCATTTTCATTTTTGGGAGAAGCAAGATAAATTATATGAAATACAAATCTGATTGTAATAGACGCAGGCTGCAGTTTTTTTCCTTCTTCCTCTGACATGTAAAGTGGCATTCAACTAATTTTAGTCTGAGTAGACCCATTGAAATTAATGGTTATGGGTAAGTTCAATTCATTAATTTTGGTGAGTCATCTCTGAGTAAAATTTAGTTGTATGCCACCCTGACTCCACCCCCCCCTCCAGCTTCAAAAAATGTCACTAGATCTTGCTCACATGCTGCCATGGGCTTAAGGACTATAAACTTTCAGGGAGAAGGTTGAAGTAGCATTTTTATATATTTTTCAAAACATCACAGGACACACACCGATTTCAGTAACGTTGAAATGATGGGAGCTTCTTATTCTTGCACTACAGACTATCTTGGGGCCTCTACAGATATCCCAATGATTGTGCATTCATCTTGATTTGTGTTCCTGGTGGTATCAGGGCAGAAATATATATTCCTTCTTTCAATATTCTTTGAGCCTGCAGCCCTTTCAAGGTGGTGATAGGAAGAACTATACTGCTTTGCTTCCTTTCAGTGCACTCCCCATACTTTCCTGTTGAAATGGTCTAACCTTTTATGCTGCAAATGTTCCGGGGTGTTTACTTTCCGTCTCACTTTTGTTGCACTTTACTACAAGAGTGCCCCTCTAGATGGCAATCTAGTAGTATCATTCAGGAAGCATCACAGATCAACTGTAATAAAGTAAAACGAAGTGTGAACTGCCCACTATAAATCCACATCTAATGTACTATTCATGTGTCAATGGCATGTTGCAGAATACACCTTCCCACCCTCCAAAAAATAAAAAATCACCCATCTGGAGGTGCCTTCCTAGTTTTTTGTTCCTCCCAGTGCTTGTCAGCACTCCCTTCCATGGTCTTCTGATTTTTCAGCAGTCAACTACCCCACTTACACTTACAAATCGTAGAATTTTAGAGTTGGAAGGGACCACGAGGGTCATCTAGTCCAACCCCCTACATTGCAGGAATCTTCTGCCCAATGTGGGGCTCGAACCCGGGAACTTGAGATTCCTGAGAGTCTAATGCTCACTTACCTAGCTAGGCTGGTAGGTTTTTTCAAGATTTTCAAGAGCTGCTCTACTGCATTGCCAGATGACTGATGGTAGCAAAGGCCTTCAGTTGACTGGCCATTTCATGTATTTGAGTATAGTGTCACATTTGCAAATCCTTATTCTGAACACTTCGCTGTGGCAAAAAATGTCCTGTCAGCTTTGAGATATTTTAGATGCAGCCTATTTTAAATGCATAGCGGCTTAGAAAGTCTTGGTTATGCTCACTCACACACACACACACTTAAAAAAAACACCCCAAACCCCTTTTTCATTTGCATTTTAGGAGAGTGACTAAAGTTCTGACACAGAACACTGGTGAAGGGCAATTTCTCCCTTATTTTGGGTACTTCAGCTTGTGATGGAACCAAGGTGGAGTCTAGACACATATAAAAAAAATTGTGAAAATGTTTTCTTAATAAATGTTTTGAAAAATATATTGAATTTGCCATAGCTCACCTCCGCCAGCTAGTGTCACATTTCTATAATGCAATTTACAACACACTTAACATGTTTTATTTGCAGCTCTATAGCTGAGTCCCAAGTCAAGGCTTGCTTTGCTCCAGGTCCCTGAGGGAATGCTTTTTTTTATATACACAAATTCAAGCAAATTGGAGACTAGGTTCCTAGAGGGCAACAGAGTTGTTGACACTGTTCTTTGGAATAAAGAGCACACCTGTCCCATCCCTGCAGAACATCTCAGGGATGCCGGAGTCCAGAGTTGGCTGTAAGATAAACATAAAGTGACCGACAAATTCAAGAAATAATAAAATAATAATAATAACCTTGCCACACCAACTTCAGCAATTGTTTCAGGAACCGTTTCTCTGCCATTAAACATCTTAAAATGTGATAGGAGAACCAAGCCTGAACGTGCATGAGAATTTCAAGCTATGTGTCCAAGCGCCATACAGGTGGCAACCTTTTTACATGTGTTTGATTGGCGCATGACCATCAATGTGCATGCTGTTTTCGGCCCTGGAAGGTGGTGGAGTGAGACGGGGGTGGAACAGGATGGGAAGGACTTAGGTGTATTTCAACAACATGCAAGATGACCTGGAACACAACCGGCATGCCTGTGTGTGTGTGTGTGTGTGTGTGTGTGGTGGACCACAATGAAAAGACAACACTAATTCAAAAAATTACTATTGTTGTTATTTCATTTATTTCATTTATCGATCACTTCCCATGAAGCATCCCAAAGCAATTTACAATATAATAACACACACACACACACACACACACACACAACATATACAGCAACTCTCAACTTACGGACAGGTTACATTGCTTAAAGCCAAAATTGCATCAAGTCAAAACACATTGGGTGCAATGGCGGTTGGGATTGCCAAAATTTCTACCACCAACCTGATGCCTGTCCCCTCTTTGCCCCCTTTAAAAATATTTGTCAAAGCACACAATGCACACAAGTTAAATGCACCTAAGTTATGAGTTACCTGTATAAAAAACAGCTTAAAGCAACAGCACATACTGTACCTAAAGCCAATGCAAATCCAAGACAGACACCAACTGGGATAAAGAAGGCTTTAGCAAAATGTACTTAGCAGACACAGAAAGACAATAGAGGAGGTGCTTGTCTGATGTGCAAGGGGAGGGAGTTGCCAAGAGTAGGTGCCACCACATAGAAGGCCCAGTTCCAGCACGGTGCAGAATTATCAGTTAATTAATTCAATTTATTAGTCTTTAAATTGTTTATATATATATATATATATATATATATATATATATATATATATACCAATTAAAAGGGGTAATCAAAGTCAAGCAGACAGATTGGCAGCTCAGCTCTTTCCATAAAACAGGCTGCTCTTGCTCCCATTTCACAGATGGAGAGCTAAGAGGTTGAGACAGAGACTGTGGCCCAATGGCCACAACGAACCTCCAGCTCATTCGGACTGAAGCTTCTGTACACATGGCTGCTCTCTGCCTTTGACCAGCTACTGACATGTGCAGGATCAAACCTTTTTACACATAACAGCAGGCGTTTGGGGACGTGGGATTTTATTCCCTTTGGTGGGGAGCAGATGTTATGGCCTGCCAAAAGTGTCACCCTAAGCAATGGGGGGTGGGTGGGGGGTGGGCGGGCGGGCATCTAAACACCAGCAATCCAGCGCATGACGGATGTCTGAACGCTCTCGCCTGCACTCGCACCGCCCTGCGCCTCGGCACGCATCCGTCCCTTTGTCCCAGTCCTTGGGGATAATCTGATTTCGCAGCGAGTTGTGTGACGGGGATCAAAGGGCGTGCCACAGGGTATCTATTTTAGCCGGGGACCTGTTTTGTGAGGAGAGGAGATTAACCCCTGGCCCTCCTGGCAAGGGACGGATTGCGAAGGCAGAGGGGGCTTTAAGCATGGCAGATGAGAGGGATTAAGGAGTTAATTCGGCAGCGTGCCCTGGAATAGTAATTCCTTTCCCCTCCCAACATACTTCGAGACGCTACAGCATGCTGGAGCATCGCTGGGCGCAGTCAGCGTGATTGTGGGGGGCGGGGGGTACCTCCTCTCCGTTCAGCTGCGCTGCCAGTTATCCGGGCAGCCCGACCCATTGCAAGTGCCTGGCTTGCTGCTGCACACAAAGGGAGCCAGCCAGCCAGCCAGCCACCCTCTCCCGCTTTCTGCCAGCTTCTTAAAGGGAGCGCTGCATGCTCAGCCTCACAGCTGCAGCGCCGGGTTCATCCAGTGCAGCTTCACCTAGCTGTCAGGGGGTGGGGGGAAAGACAAGGGAATCCCGAAGAGGCTTTTTTGCAGAAGCCGACCAAGGCTCAGATGGATATCCTGGGTCTGCGGAGACCTGCCCCGTGATCCGGTGCTCCTTGGTGGCTCCTGAGCTTTGCGCCTTCAGCATTTCCATGGTCCACCGGGTGTTGCAGACGCATCTTTGCAGTACGCGCCTGCATTGATTTCGATCCAGCAAGCGGAGTCAAGCCAGCATTGAAGCAGCCCCCATGCTGCTGCTTCGGGTTTGCGGTGAAGACGATGCAGGCTCGAGGTTTCTGAAAGCCACAGAGCGAATGGAGGGGGCGATTTAAGAGCCGGATCCAAGCGGGCAGAAGGAATCCTTGCAAAGTGTGGAGGATCGATCAAGACGCGCGGCGTTGCCAGTTCGTTCGGTGTTTCTGGCTTTCTAGCAAGTTCAGCACTCGCGAAGGGGACAGCGCCTCGGGTCGCCTCCGTCCTGCAGCAGAGCCCGAAGTTGGAGAGCGCTCCTCTGAAGTCTTCTGCAGCTGCATTGTGAGGGACCGGCCCCTTCGGCGCACCGCAGTCGCGCTCTGCCACTCGAAAGGGGTCCTCTCTCTTCTGCCAAGGAGAGCTCGGCGAGAGCGCAATGCAAGTCTCCATCGCGTGCACGGAACACAACCTCAAGAACCGGAATGGGGAAGACCGACTCATCAGCAAACAGAACACCACCACCCCGAACTCAGTCAATGCAGCCCGGGCGAAATTCCGGACGGTGGCGATTATTGCTCGCAGTCTTGGGACCTTTACCCCTCAGCACCACATTTCCTTAAAAGAGTCCACTGCAAAGCAGACGGGCATGAAATATAGGTATGGGAAAACTCTTTATTCACACTGTTTCAGTGACCTCTCTCACTCCCCACCCCACCCCCCACGTTGCGAGAGATTGTCTGCTAACCAACCAGGAAATCTTTGCATAAACCCCACCAGCAAATTTCTAGAGTCCAAGAAATGGATGCAGCAAGAAAAGTTTGACGCCTTTAGAAAGTCACTCCAGTCCTACCTAGGTTTCAGTCTTTTCTTTTTCTTTTTTCTTTTGCAGAGTCCCCTATATTCTGTATTCTAGGTTTTCTGGTTTATTTGAATTCTACAGAGTATTCAGGGAAGCAGCATTGCATGGGATGTTTTGCCTTGTGCCTTACTTGCATTTAGGACTTGGAATTAATAGATGACACTCCAAGCTCTGTTTGGGAAAAAGCTTGCCTCTCAAGGCACTTGCTGGTTGATACAAAACAGCAGCGCCTGTTAAACTAAGTTAGATGGTCTTTGGTGCTCTAATTATCACTCATAGGCCTGTAAGTGACTTGCTGTCTAAGGACAGGGAAGGGTTTGCTTTTTGTGAAATGCAGGCAAAGCAACATGCTTGTCCCTATACAATATCATCTGTTATCCTAAATCATCTCCTCTGCAAAGTAGAAAGGAGAGAGAACTGAAGACTGTCACAAATGAAACTTTGGAGACTGAAGTTTTGTGTGGTTTTTTTGTTTTGCTTGGCCAATCAATCAATTGCAATTAATCTCACACATCTTATTTTTTTAATGCCTCCTTTCCAGCATACGCCATTTGATGTCAGAATGGCTTGTTTTCCAAAAATAAGGGGGAGAGATGGCAGCATTCATAGGCTCTCTTAGGAGCAGAGTTGTGACTTAGTCATTGAACAACCCACAGAGTTTTCTGATGCCATGCAGTGGATAGTGTTGGAGTTGAACCCAAGAGACATGGCTTTAAATTGCCGGATTCATTGGGTGGCTTTGGGAAAGTCACTCAGATAGGATAATCTTATGTGTTGCTTGATCAGGACTAAACCCCACTGTGTCCAGTGGAGTTTACTTCCAAGTAAGTCATGAGTAAGATTGCAGCTGGAGTCTTACTTAGCAAATAGAGCTAGGGAACTGATCATTATTAGCAGTCACAGGACGGGGTGGCTAATCTATTGGGGGGGGGTTGGTCTAACTGAGGCAATCACCAAACTTCCAGGATATGCTTGCCAGCAGTGGGTGTGGCCAGCCCATACACTTGCCTGCACACTTGCAAATTCAAGCATACACACAGGATGCACACTCACACATGTGGGCACACAGACAGGTGCAGATGCACACACCTTAACTAATCCATGGAGATCAACTGGGGATGGTTATCATCACTCCCCTCTCCATTCATCAAATGATCCACCTGGTGACCAGGAAGAGGGCAATTCATCCACTTCAGGACTATGTATATGTTCATTGTTTTTCTTTTTGTCATTGCCCCCCAAATTGCCAAGGGCTGGGTGGGAGAGAAAATTGCTTGGCAGGTAAATAGGAACATAGGAAGTTTCCTTACACCTAGTCCATCGGTCCATCTAGCTCAGTGTTGGCTACAATGACTGGTAGTGGCTGTCCAGGGTTTCAGAACCCTACCTGGAGATGCTGGTGGTTGAACCAGGGACCATCTCCATGCAAGGCAGATGCTCTACCTTTGAGCTACAGTTTCCTCAAAGTTGCCCTCAAAATGGTCATTAGCCACCCTTGCTCTGGAAGAAGGCTCTTGTTGAGTATGATCAAGCTCAAGGTGAAACCACTTTCTTACTCAAAAACATCACACTAGTTAACAAATACTAGTTTAGCAGGCAAATTTTATGATGGAAAGAATGTGCTGTGCCTTTCATGACTGGGAATACTTGTGCTTTCCAGAGGTAGATGATCATTGTCATAGCAGGCAGCCCAGATCTTAGAGAATTATCTTGATGGTCGAGGGTCTGAAGACATACTGGAGCTTGGCGATGGGACATAAGGACAAAGAGCAGTGGTCCCTGTAGTTACAGGTCCTCGTAATTAGTCTAGAGGCTCTGTATTCTGGGGGGGACATCTACAAGTAGTTTTTGAGTAATTTGGGGGGGGGGCACTGTGATGGTTTACACTCATCCAGCTCTTCTACACAATAAGCCATTAGAAGTAGCAATAATCAAGGATGGTAAGGGAGGCAGCAGTCTCCACTACAGAGACTGTTGGTTGCGGGGTGAAGATTTAGTGGAGGCTAAATCTGCACCCATTCATGGTCCAAGAAAGAGGAACCCCTTGCCTTCCTCCAACACACTCATCAGTTGGCACCCATTCCTTATTTATTTTACTTATTTTAAAAGAAAGCTGCTCACATTAGAATATTTAGAATTAGAATTAGAGTGGTGTACAGAAAACCAAATTTAAGTATAAAATACACAGTACATAAAGGTTAAAATAACACTGCAACACTAGAAGATGATCAGCAGACAGTGATTTTAACAATTCATTCACTAAAGCCTGAAATTAAAAGGCCTTGAGCATGCATCTAAAAGAGAAGGTTGTTGGAGCATGCCTTATCTCAATTGATAATGAATTACACCTCTAAGGGGCCACAACTCTGAAAGCCCTGCTACTAGGAGATGCAAGGCAAATCATAGGATCTCTTGGTACCACCTGAAGGTCCTCTGTCATGGAGCGTAGTGGCCAGGCTGGATCATAAGGGGAGATACGGTCTTTCAAGTAGTCTCCCAAGTTGTTTAGGACTTTCTAAACAAGTCACAGCACCTTGCTTGGTGGCATATAGGCAGCCAATGCAGCTGCTTCCTCATATATGTTGAGGATGGCTAGCTCAAGATGGCAACCTCACAGCAGCATGATGCACTAACTGTAGTTTCCAGACCAACGTCAAGGGCAGCTCCACAGAAAGTGAATTGCGGTAGCCAGGTATTGAGGGGACCAATGCATGGACCATTGTGGCCAGATTATTCCTGTCTAAAAATGGCTGTAGCTGGCCTACTAGTCAAAGTTGGTAAAAGTCACTCCTAGTCACTGAAGCCACATCAGCCCCTAGTGACCCTTTAGGAGTCAAAGGGAACCATTGGAAGAGCCCTCTCTCTTTTGCAGAGCTCTCTGTCTTCACCTGTCTCTCCTTGCTGAGATTTCTATTTCTTTGCCACACAAAGAGACAGCACCAAAGAACTATCTCTGTATGCTGTTTATTTCATTGATAAATCACTTGTGAGACATCCCAGTGTGATTTACAATAAAACAAAACAGATATATATATGTGGACATCACCTTAATCTTAACAAAGAGACAGAAATAAACACTTTGTTGTACAACTGGAGCCTCTTATCGAGTAAAGGGCAGAGTCTTTAAAAATCTGTATTGATTCATACCTTCTTTGGGATATACTAGGCACATTCTCTAAATAAATTTGGCAGAGCATGACTAACCGGAAGAATGGGAAGTTTGCTGAGGTTTGCAAGGGAAAGACAAGGGCAGGAGAGTTGACTGGAAGATAGAGACTTGTGGCAAAGAGCAAGTTCTTTGTTTTCTCCCACTCTATCCACCCATCCTCTTATCTTAAGTAGCTTTTGTGTATCTAAATCCTTTACCCATCATTCCACACCTGAACTAGTATGAATTAACATACAGGACAGAAGGAGATTCACTTCCTCCAAACTCTGTATGCGCATTGGACATGGAAAGATATGTTGGAATGTGTGCTGGATATTCCAACCAGCTGTCTGTTATGGGCATTGCTTCCATCCCTGCATGAAGTTAGAAATGTTTTTCAATAAATAATCAGAGGGACATAGAACTACATGGGGAGAGAAAGGGTTTCTTTGTTGTGTTGGTGAGTCTTTGATGGGGTCTTTGTCTCTTTAAGTGCAGAATGGAGCTGTACATAAAAGGACAGGGGTAGTTGGCAGCCTGATCAGGAGCACATTTTGGCTGTGTATGCACCATACATTTAAATTGCATTTAAAACAAATCCCCACAAAGAACCCTGGGAACTACCACTTATCTTCACAGAACTACAATTCCCAGCACTCATAACAAACTACAGTTCCCATGATTTTTAAATATGTGCTTTAAATATATTGTTTGTATGCGGCCTTTGCTGCAGGTTTCTCTCGAGTTAATATCTAACCAGTTTGCTTTAGGGTGATACCGATATAATGTGAGAGCTGAGCGTACTTGGGAAATATCCACAGCTTTCTTGTGTAAAGTTTGGGCACTGTAAACTAGCTGCCCTTTCACTGAATTTGCACACAGCTACTTAGCAAACAGAGGATTTGATCACCTTCTGTGTTTGAATTTTCTTTGGAACATACAGCATTGCAATAAGTATTATACAGTTGGAAGCTTCTCTTATTAAATCTGTAGCCATATGGTAGCATGTGTATAGGGCTGGGTGAATAAAAAGTTACATATCTTTTAATTTCTCTGAAGGCCAGCATCTTTTGAATGCAAATTCACTGATGATAATTCTGCTCCTTGAGCTCTGATGCACTGTGACATAAACTTTGCTTTCTGAAGGTTGTATCTCATTATTCCCTCCTTCCCTCCCTCCCTCATAATCCCAACCCCTGGGGATACAGCCTTTTATTCATATTTAGAGCAAATTGACATTGGCTAGGAACTAAGAAGAGAGCCTATATTTTTACAGTGGTACCTTGGGTTACAGACGCTTCAGGTTACAGACTCTGCTAACCCAGAAATAGTACCTTGGGTTAAGAACTTTGCTTCAGGATGAGAACAGAAATCGTGCTCTGGCAGCGTGGCGACAGCAAGAGGCCCCATTAGCTAAAGTGGTACCTCAGGTTAGGAACAGTTTCAGGTTAAGAATGGACCTCCGGAACAAATTAAGTTCGTAACCTGAGGTATCACTGTACAGTTTTTGTTTATCTCCCAAATGGAAAGAGTAACAATAATTGAAGCCAAGGATAGCCAATGTGATATCATCCAGATGTTTTGGGACAATAGCATCCATCATCCCAGCTAGGATGGCCAATGGAAAGGGATTATGGAAGTTGTAGTTTA